CCCCCCCCACGGACACTCATCTCTCAAACTCACTAGTCAACGTTTCGTATGGTCGAATATGAATGAAGACATACGTTCATGGACAAAAGCTTGTCCACAATGTCAACGTTTAAAGACACTTTGCCGCACTCACACATCGGTACCTTTCCCGCTTCGGACTACCGATTCAACCATGTTCACTCGATGCTGTTGGGTCTCTCTTTCCTCAGGAGGGTAGTATGTATATCTACCCCTTCACCCACATACTCGACTGTTCAGCTCATGGTCGCTCAGTTGATCATGACACTCGTTTTTTTCTACACCCACAGACACGTCACACAAAGGTCATGTGACATCGACTGTCCGTACTGTCTAGCGAGCGTAGCAACAAGTCACGTGCCACCACCCACGCACACGCAAACGTACCTACAGTTGAGGAAACCGAACACAGTCAACACACTGGCCCGCGCGCGTTCAAGGAGCACGACGTCAACCACACTCCACAAGTCCACGGACAATTTCGGATTACGTGTACCAGCTACACTGCGGAGAAAACACGTTCCCGCCGTCCAGACGTTCACCAAGGCACTCTCACAAACGACAAGATCCCCTTTTGACTTGCTCCACAATTCGCGTTACATTTATTTTTATACGTGTTGCAACTCACCGCTGTCAACCATATAAGAACTGTTATTAGTACATATACTTCTGAATTATATTATGGCTATCATTAACTATGCACTAGCGACGCTCACAGTGCCCTAATGAATGCGGGGCGAAGGAGCGGTATACGAGCATGTGAAGGCGAGTGATAGCCAATAATGGACCGGCATAATACACAGATAATTTATGTAGACTTGTTGGGTAAACATTCATTATGTTGGCGGTTAGCTTCAAACCGCAATGCCAAAGATGTTCCATATGATGGAAACACCCCGTCTGTTCCGACGCTTTTCGTCTACTTTGACAAACGTTGAGTCAAAATCAGACAAGCTTGCTAAAGACTGGAAGTGATCAAAGTTCACAGAATTATGACATTCAGTCTAGGAGTTGAAACCACGTGACATGTCAAAAGCGCCAATGGCGAGCGCCGTTTATTCGTACCAATGTTTGAAATTGAGCTGTCGAACCTGACTTGTCATTTGCGTGACTAAAAGTTATGTGAAAAAATTCAAACAATAAGAGCATTTTTCTTCTTGTTGCCTACGGTGTGGCCTGAAATGGACCGTAATAGTTTCCGTCCAAAAGTTTGCCCAAATAAGTTTGTGCGTATCAGTTCAAAACGAATGACCTATGTATACGGGTAATTTTGATTTCATAGTGTGACTGAGAAAGTGAATTCCCACACATCTAATTTTGGAATCCCTGGGACTTACGTAAGCTTGATTAGGAGTTTGTTTCCCCACACACAAACTATAAATATTTCGGTGAAATGTAGGCCATCAGTAAAGTCAAACACTATCATTTACCAGCTCGTTCACGTGTGATGTTCACACGTGGGAAATTTACAAAAAAAGGAAGCCTCGGTGAGTGCGATGCATGATCGGCTCCCGTAGACCCAGTGACGAACGCCTGAAAATGGGAGCGAAATCGCCGCAGTTATTGGACACTCGTTTCCTACCGGGTGTGGTGTGAACTGTTTGTTTTACCTACACCTATCCTAAGGTTACAACAGTGCGAACTATCCTTGTTAGACAGCTGCATGTTGTGCAGCCGTTGGCAGCATGTGTTCAAAAAGTAGAACTCATGAGAACCTATAGGGGATTCAAACATGGGCAGGCTGATATGATAATACATTACACTGGGCCAATGGGATGTCCTAATATGCATTTCCCATTTATGAAACCACACG